CAGGCCAGGTCCCTGTGAGGAAAAGATATTGGCTGCTCTAACCATTCCTTTATTATATTATTATTATTATTATTATTATTATTATTATTGTCCCTGGCGCTCCTACCCATCCTTACTTGATTATGGAACATAGTGGTGTGTTAGGCTATTCCTAATCAGGAGGATGGGAAGGGAGACTCAACAGCAGGGCTTAGAAGAGTGTATTTTTTGTTTGTTTGTTTGTGTTGGACTTAATAGGTTTCCATCACACCCCCAGGCTGAAGGCAGCCTGCACCCTCACAAAAGTAGGTGTACTTTCTGACTGAACTTAAAGTTGAGCTCACCTAGGGGTATGATCAGGAAGTGCTTTGAGTCTGAAGTCCCAGTGGGCTGGACAGACTATTTTTTTTGTGGGATAATTGTATTTGAGCCAAAAACGTCCCAAGGGGTGACACCTAACAAGTCACAAATATAATGCTGAAGAGTTCTTAAGGAGAGACAAATATTTTGATGGTATTTATACTACCTGTTAACCGAGAAAGCAAACACATTTGAAGGAACTGGGTCTTGGGATCAGAAGATAACAAGATAGGTCTATAGATATCATCTAACCATCTCTGCATGATGTAAAATAGTAGCCCAGATAGGAGAGGAGACCTATGCCACATCATTTAACCAGTCACAGACCATTTTGACCTTCTAGAAGATGGAACAGAGCATACCTCAAACCTGTAGAATATCTTGATATTTTTGTTGGGAGCCTGTGAGTACTTTTCTGTATTTTGAGAAGCCATGCCTATATGTTTTCATGGTAAGATAAGTTATTAAGCTAAAATGTCAGGCTTTGTTATTCTGGTTGGAAATGTATTAGCCTAATATGTTGACACTGGTTATTTTATAAAAAGCTGCCAATCAGAATTGTCAAACTGTATGTGTGTGAACACACACACATACAAGTCTGCCAATCAGAGCTCATTATATACATATAATCAGTGTCTTTATATAAAAGCCTGCCAATCAGAGCTTATTGTATAAACATATATTGTGTAGCTTATTTATAATTAAAGCAGAGCACTAATTCAATTCATACTCAATGCTGTAGGGTTTATAAACATTTTTTTCAAGATATGGCATTCATAAGGGGATGTGTAATAAAGGGGATTCTGGTATAGAAATCACTGGAAACTATTGATCTAGTTCAGGAGTCCACAGACTAAAGGAAGCCTATTGTATTTTGTTTGCTGACTGTTTTTATAAATAAAGTTTTATTAGGATACAGTATTGCCAATGGCTGCTCTACTGTTCCATGATAGAGTTCAGAATATGTGACAGTTTACACAATCCTTTCACTCTCAGGCTCCTTACAGAAAAGGCACAATTCTTATGTAGTCTAGCCCTCTAATTTCGGGTAATGAAACCCATGAGGAGGTGCAGTGACCTGCCCAGCACACATAGAAGGACCTGAGAAAGTAAAAATTGAGCCATGTGCTCAGTTTCTCTCTTTGATTTCACATCCTGTACCACATTGTACTTCACACACTACTCAAGGTTCCACTTTTCCCATCACCTGTTAAGGTCTGGGTATGAATGCTCTTGGGGTGAATGCTGGTTCTTCAGGTAGTGGTGCTATTTTGGGAGGTTCTGAAAACATTAGGAGGTGGAGCCTCAGTGGAGGAGGTAGGAGATTGGGGACAGGTCCTTAGAGGCATTTTGTCACTCACCCCTCCCTGTCTCTTTCTGTTTGCTTCTTATCTGCTACAAAGTGGAAAGCTCTGTCATATTCTCCTATTGCCAAGCTCTGTCCCTTGAAGGGCAGGTGGCCAAGCAGCCATGCACCAAACCCTCTAAAAGCATGAGCCAAATTCAACCCTTCTTCCTCTTCAGTTGTTTCTAAAGGGGACGCCCGCACTTCGGAGGCTCCCTCCCAGACCTGGGATTAGGCACAAACCACACCCAAACACCTATTTTCACAGAGAGATCCTTTATTAAGCAAGGAAGGAAAGTTAAAGTGGCTACTTTCTGACTCAGGCAGAAAAAGAGCAGCAAACGACCTTACAAGTGTCATTCTTCAGAAGAGAAAAAGGAGAGGTCTGGGTTAGAATAGACTAGGGTGTGGTTGTGGTTGTGAAGGAGACAGGGGATGAAGGAGAAGAGGAAGAGGACAAGGGAGAGCGGCAGGGATATTTGTCCAGGAGAGAGGAAGGACGGCCTGTGGATAGAGAGGAGACAGATGTGGCACACAGCTAAATGGCGGTTTATAAAGGTAAAGGGAGGAAGCCCCATGTTAGGATGAGGTGTTTAATTTTAACTGGGCATGTTTATTAGGTGAGCTAAAGGGGGATTCTGATTGCTGGACTTTGGTAGTCAGCCTCAGGAGGAGGAAGTGGCCAAATAAGGGAATAGACCTTGGTGGCTAGCTTTAGGAATGTCATCTAATGGTTTTTGTCAAGGCAGAGGGGTGGGAGAAGGCCTGCCAGAGCCACATGTTCAAGGGGGGTAGGGTTCCCTCAGTGTCTGTCAGACATTTCGTCACAGTGACAAAAACCAAACCCAAAACCAAAAGCCAAAAAATAAAACTTAGCTAATACAGTATCCACTTCTATCAAGAGGACCCGGGTTCAGCCAAGATTAAGATCTGAAAAGAAAAAGACAGAGAACCAATGGGAAAATGGGAGACCCCTGTGGCTAATGGGGATCCCAGTGGCAGATTGTGGACATGGCCAGCAGATGGGGATTCAATTGTAAGTGGTCATTGTCCTCCATGTGACCATTTTCCTTTCTGCCACCGTCGGCTTTGGTGTCTTGTGTGGAAGCAGCATTCTTGGAGCATGTATGGTGTGCCAGGTTCGGGGTACATCTTTTCAATTCCATGCCACCAGTCCTATGACAAACATACACGATGAGGTGGGGAGAGGAAGTCTGTGTTAAGGATGATGAAATCAAGGCAAAGTAAGCAAAAAAAAAAAAAAAAAAGCCATAGTCATGAATCTGGTGTGTGGTAGTGTGATGATATTGTGTCCCCCAATATATTGTGCACCTCAGTAAACTTATATGGGTCAGAGAACAGAATAACCACTAGATATAGAGGCCAGAAAATAGTGGCACACTCACCTTTAAACCTAGCATTCCAGAGGCAGAGATCCGTCTGGATCTCTGAGTTTAAAGCCACACTGGAAATAGCTAGGCATGGCGACACACACCTTTAATCCTAGGAAGTGATGGTAGGAAGCAGAAAGGTATATAAGGCATGAGGACCAGCAACTAGAGCCTGGGTAAGCTTTTAGGCTTTTGAACAGCAGTTCAGCTGAGATCCATTTGGATGAGGACACAGAGGCTTCCAGTTTGAGGAAACGAGATCAGCTGAGGAATTGGTGAGGTGAGGTTGGCTGTGGCTGGTTCTGTTTCTCTGATCTTTCAGCGTTTACCCCAATACCTGGCTCTAGGTTTGTTCTTATTAATAAGACATTTTAAGATTTGTGCTACATGGTAGAACTGGGTTTGTCAGCCTCATCTGAGTCACCCAGTGTTTATGATCTTCCTGTTTCTTTTCAACGACAGCCTGCCAGTTCAGGTAGAAGAGCTGCTTTCTTTGGAAAGAAACCTGAGTTTACATTGATGCAAGCCATGACTTCATTAACTGTGACTAAGTGAAGAGAACCTTTCCACGCCTGCATGCAGAACAAGGGTACTTACTCTTCAGATACCACAGAAGGAAGTGTGGCAACTACCATCAAGAGTGTGGCCCCCTCAGTAGCCTCTCTGCCATGGAGCTTACACAGAGACAAAGAAACAGCATGACTAGACTCTTAGGGGAAGCGATAGGATCCAAATTATAGTTCCCCCTAGTAAGAAACAAAGGCGATGAGAAATGAAACTGTCCTTTAAAAACATGACTTTGAGACTTGCATTCTCCCTTTCTCTTTTGCCCTTGGAGGGAACCGAGAGAGAGTGTCATGCATGCTGACAAGTTCTCTGCTGCCAAATCACACACTCAACCCCAAGAACTTAAAATCTTTAAGGATTTTTTTTTTTTTTGCCAAGTCATTGTCATTATTTGTAATAAGTGGTAATAAAGAAAAGGAAGAGACAGTTAAAATTACAGAGAAGGCCATTTCCCTTAATGGTGACATCTTGTAGAGCTATTTTGAGATGTCAGAACAGGAAGCTACAATTGGTGCCTGTAAGTCTCACTGCAGTGGGATGTCTTTTTGTATGCTGCGAATATGTGTTGTTCCCATTGGCTATAAATAAAGCTACTTTGGTCTATGGAAAGGCAGCTTATAGGCAGGCAGGAAATCCAAGACAGAGACAGGAAAAGCAGAAGTAGAGCCAGAGAGATGCCCCAAAGGAGCAAGCTGCCTGCAGACTGGTAATGCCACAGCCACATGGCAATTTATGGATTAATAGGAATGAGTTGAATTAAGTTGAAAGAGGTAGCTAACATAAACTGACACATAGGCCATACAGTTTGTAAATAATATCAAGCCTCTGAGTAATTATTTTATAAGTAGCTATGGGTCTGTGGGTGAGAGAGGTTTGTCCTGACTGTGGGCCAGGCAGGATACAAGAAATCTTGCGACTACATCTCACCTTCCCTTAACACTGTGTACCACACAGTTGTCTCCACTGTTCACATGGCCTTTTGTGTAGGTGTGCAGAAACCATTTGCAGTTCCCTGATGTCTGAAGCTTGCCCGAGTGTTCACTTGTGTTAATCTGCTGTTCGTGTATCCTCTGCAGTCAGATGTCTGTTCTATATTTTACCCATTTGATAGCTAGAGTTTGTACATTTTTTGACTCTTGAGAATTCTTTGTATATTTTACTCACTAGGCCTTCACTGAATATGTTATTTGAACAAAATTAAGCTATCCTGGTTTGTTTTGTCATCATTTTCCTAGTTTCTTCTCTCAGAATAAAACTTTCCAACCTTAAAAAGGCTTAATTTAGATATTTTTTATTTTATGAATTGTGCTTTTGATATCAAGTGAAACGATTATTTTCAAAAGATGGTAGGAGTTGGCTGGGACTGGTGTTATAAAAAGAACTTGTGGGTCAAGTACAAAACATTAAAAGGTTAAATGGTCCCTTCATTCTCTATGGGCGAAGGATGGTCTCCTGCCTTGTTTGAGCAACAGTGGTCAGGGGACTTCCAAGTTGAGTCTTCCACGTGCTGTTGACATCTGTAAAGGAGGCAGGGATAGGCATTACATGTCGGTTATGAAGGCGCAGAATGAACCTGAAAGAGCCCAGAGCTATCTGTGAGAATTAATGAAAGGCTTCCCCTGACCTATTCAAAGAACCCAGCTCATTTCACATGAGATAAATTTCAGGACCTTGTCACCCTGGCTCTCAGAGGAGGACACTTCTATGATTGATTACTGCTTGCCCCTGGGAGCTTGAGATGTGGCAGAGGAGACCTGTCTGGCTGACAGATGACTTGTGGCCCCACTGCTGACCTTGCTGCAAGGCTGCTGCTTAAGGAGCAGGACAGAGGAGAGATGAAACCACTACCCAAAGGAAGGGCTGGAACATGTCACACAGCAGAGAGAGCCTTAACAACCACTGCTGGGTTAAAGCCAACACTAGTTAGCAGTCTGGTTGGCAGGGCTTAAGCAAAAGGCTATTGCTTAACCTTGCTGCATTTAGTCATTGTTATTGTTGTTGGTGGTTTTGAGGGAGGGCACTGGAAGGTGAAGGTTGAGGCTGTGGGTAGGGTGGGGGACTGTATTACCAAGAAGAAGGGAATTCTTTTTTTTTTTTTT